TATTAAGGTAGAGCGTAAGGATAATGTAATAAGTTTGATAATCGAATTCCCTATAATAAGTAAGCAATGCAGGAAGATAACAATTTTCGCAGTCGCCCACAACGGTTCTGTGCTCCAACTCCACGACAATCTTGTGGCCGATTGCGACGGACAGATGTTGGCCGTAGCCAATTGCTCACAAACTGCGACTGCCACATCCTGCAAGCGTTCCAAGAGCATCAGTTGCGCACAACGCCTCCATGCAGGGGGTACAGCCCATTGCCAAACGCAGCCGAGTCATCTTGCCCCTGTCACCATAGTGGATGACGGCATCATTGTCATTACCTACGACGATTGCACTGCGATGAAGATAGATGGGACAAACCTCGTCACCTTCTCGTCCTATGCCACCGTAAATGGCACGCGATACTTCAATCGCACGAGCGTGCAAAATCGGTTCCCGGTAGTAGCGGCATCACCGTTGCTTAACATCAGCGGCCATGACTCGATACTCAGCCTTCCCTACATTCACCGCCTGAGTGAAAACAACCTTAACTACATCAAAGAGGTCAGAGACAGTATTGCAGTCGGAAATACATTGGCGATTTCCTTCGGCATAATGCTGTTGGCCTGTGCTGTGGGGGCTGGAGTCTACTGGCTCCATAGGCTGACAATCAAGCGTCAAAACTCCCGGAAGATCTCGAAGATATTGGAAAACTTAAATGCGACCGAGGACGGTCGATCCTCGAGAGGGGGAGTAGTTAACCACTGACTATTGGTATGTGCTGACCCAGCGTTCTGGGGAAGCCAATGACCAGAGTCATGTGGCGACGGATATGTCGCAACTATGTCACCGGCCGCGACGGTCATCCGACACCGCACACGAGGCGCTAACGCTGCACTTTTGCGAGTCCGGCGGCAGCGGTTCTACAGCAGCAACGGCGGCTCTGGGGCAGCGACGGCGGCTCTGCAGGCATTGCTTAGATTGATAAAGATTGTATTTTTTAGTCTAAGTTAGGAAATAATAAAAGCGCGACGTATCGTCCCTTAAAGTCTCCCGTTAGTTAACTCATTTTTTATATGCATCTTTACATGCAACCGGCAAACTCAAAGTTGCAGACATTAATGCACTAATTTGTATACAGAAATTCTTACAGCTGCTGCCCCATTCAATTGCGCAGTTGCATATAACTTTGGTTTTTCTTAACCGATCTTTATGAAATTTTCTACAGTATATCTTATTGTACCATAGAATATTTGCGTATTCTGAAAAAGTCAATTGCATTTATATTGTTCTTTAAATTGGTTGGCAATAAAAGTTGGGTTATTAACTTGATTTATAGCTCTGTGGTGGTAGCGGGGAGGTGGCGATAGGTATGAAATGAAAGATACTTGAAATATCTATAATATTCTAGAAGCAACATCATGTTTGGTGGCTCTAGCTCTTATTATATACCCAATTTGCTGAAAAAAACAGGATGTCGATATCGATTTTTATCGATTGCTTGGAAACGGAGTAAGTTATCGATTATCGGAAACAGGAGCATCTACATCTAAAATTTCTATAGCTCTTATAGGTTCTGAGAGTCTTGAGCTCATAAATACGGACGGACGGACAGATAGACGGACAGACAGACGGACAGACGGACATGGCTAGATCGACTCGGCTATTGATGCTGATCAAGAATATATATACTTTATGGGGTCGGAGATGCTTTCTTCTGCCTGTTACATACATTTGAATTTTGCACAAATACAATATACACTTATACCCATTTGAATGGGTTCAGGGTATAAAAAGAGATTAATGTTAGAAAACATTATACAATCTATTGTAATTTTTATATAACACGCGAAAGAATTGTGCGTGACGTAATCTGTTGCACAGGTAGGTAGAAATAAGGGGCGATAATTCCTGGTAGATCAAGACGAAACAGATAAGAAGGATCTATGTCGCCAACAATCAAGTTATGTAGGAAGACAACACCGACGATTGTCCTACGGTTGATCAACGACGGAAGATTAGGAAAATGCAGCTTGCTGTACTAGGATGGCAACCGAAATTGGGATCACAATTTGAGCCTCACAATGCAAAATGTTGAAATTGCTTCTTGACTGACTCAGCACGATTGTCTATTGTTATACTGCGGAAACTAGATGCAAGAGCAGTATTCAAGAATAGGGCGAACAGAAGAGATGTATAGAAGTTTGGTTATGAGGGGATCGTTCAACTCTTTAGACTAACTTTTAATGAATCCAAGTATACCTTTGGCATCATTAGCGAAGAAAGAGTGCATAGATCCTTAACTGTTGGTAGTCGTTGCAATGGAGTTTTGTGGATTTTATAACTGACAAAATAAGGTTTAGTATGATTGAATGTCATAAAAACACACTTTGAGCGATTAAGATGCAATTGATTGGGCGAACGCCGAAGTTGCATAACTTTCAAACTATCTTGTAGACCATTGTGATGCAGTCCGCATCGTGTCAAAACATCTGGCAAAATAAAATTAATTCATTTGTAACAAACTGCAACGGATCAAATCTTAAGATTAAAGGTTTTTAGCGCGGCATTATTATTTAATATGTATTATACTTAGCTTCGCTTCAAATATTAAAATAAACGAAAAACAAATACAAATAATTATTCGCAGCGATACAAGCAAAATTTCCGACTTGGCAATTTCTTCCTTAAGTTGGGCGGCCAAAAAACCCCACACTTGACATGTGGCAACCTAAACCCACAAAAAAAAAATAACCTAAGCAACGTTACTTCCGGCTTGTATGTTATATCAATATACTTTGCGAAATTAATTTTTGTACCTTAATTCATACACTATTCACAAACTAATTATTGTGGATTTTGTTTTTATATGTAGTTGGGCGCCAGTTATCGCCTGAGTCAGTGCAAGTATTTAATTTGTTTGTTCATATACATACGTGAATTGATTGATAGCAGTCGGCAAGTCCTATATTACGATTCCGAGACGTTCGCGGCCAAAGAGTCAGAGTTGTAATTTATTGTTTGCTTTTGTTAACTTATGCACAGCATACAATGCAATATCAATTACAATTATAATTACAGATACCCTTTTTAACCATTTTAAACATGTTCAGGGTAAAAGAAGAAAACAAAACATACATGTATATAATTTAAACTCGCTGGTTAACGTAAAAATAGCTACGTTTTTATTTCCTTAAATATATTTACTTACTTAATAATAACTGCATTTCCGTGTTAGAATTGAGATAATAATTTAAGTATTCGAACGTTTAGTTAAGCCAAAGACATAAACACTAAGATAAGTAACGCCATACAACAAAATGCTACTATGCAGCTTGATTTCTTGAAAATTGAGATCGAAAACGAAATCAATAGCATTGCGCTCTCACAGCCGAGAGAACGAAAAAGCTAAAATTAGAATTTGCTCTCAGCTTCGGCTCTATGAGGGCCATGCAAGTAATTATGTTTGTATGCGTTTGAATATACATACATAACAGCATATTTGAATGTGCTGTTATCCACTGCTCTGGACAAGTCTCTGGCTGGCAACGAAACAATTTTCTTAGTTTTTAGCGCAGATCACGACCTACCCAATATTTCTGTTGATATATGAATGCATTTTGTGTACTGACGTTGGCTCCGTACAAAATATGTATTTTTAAGTCGATGCAAATATTTATGTAATTTTTGATATTTGAAATTATTAAAGCAATTATTTTTATTTTTAAGTAATACAAAATAAATTAAGGAAATAAAAGTACAAATTTGTTGTTTTCAAAGATACATTTAATTAATTTTTATTTTTTTTTATTTTATTATTTTTTGTTCGAATTATAAGGAACAAAGTACGCAGGGAACGCCGCGAGGAGGCCATTATAATTATAATGGGGTCATAACTAAATATGACCTTCAAGTCGACTTGAAATGTAATTGTACTTTTTAGCACTCTTTTATTTCTTAATTGGAGAATAAAAATAATATTAATTTAATTTAAAGAAATTATGTAAATATTTGCATCGACTTAGAAATACATATTTTCTGCGGAGCCAACCTCAGTACACAAAATGCATTCATATATCAACACAAATTTGGGATAGGTCATGATTTGCGCTAGAAAACTAACAAAATTAATTTCTTGCCAGCTAAAGCCAGAGCAGTGAATAACAACACATACAAACATACTTTAAAGTTCTTATGCATGTATAATTCACGCATACAGCGAAAGCCGTGCAGCACGCTATTGGCTGAGATTAGAACTTTTCTCGAGTATATACTGTCCAAAAAGAAAAGTGAAATCAATCTATGTGTGCTATTTTCTTAACATAGTTATTGCGCAAGAAGCGCCTTGTGTAAAAATTATAATTTAAAATTTCATGTAAAATTAATCGTTAATATCTAGGGTAATATATCATTTTAATAAAGCATGCATTTCATGGATAAAGTACAAGCACTTTGCGTCGATCGTAAGTTCTAAACTTTTTTGCTCAATGTACTTCGAAAACGAAGCGACGCAAATCAGCATCGACCAGCTTTGTTGAAGGCATTCAGGTGTCAGCATCAGCAAGCCGCGACTTCGGCATTCGTTCGTCTGGTCTTTGGAGAACGAACAACCAGTCGGCAGGCATGCCGTACGAAGCCTCAAAGGTTAGGCTAGAAATTTTGCGTCGCATTCAAATGTATGGGCGTTACTCATCTTAGTGTTTATATTGTCTTTGGTTATGCCCGTCCTTCAACAATAGAGGCTCTTAGGGCCTTCACACTTCTTGTTTTGCTTCCCATTTGCATAAACTGAAAAAAGCATGTGTGCGCAAATCTGTGCATGGAAGCAATATCGTGCTGAAACAACTGTGGGCAAAATATTCTCCAAAATGGACCAATACTGAAATTGAGAGCACAAAATAACTTTTTCCATTCGTGCCATGCGAAACGTACGTCATGGTATCCAAACAAAGCGTCACAAAAAATCCACCGTTAAAGTTTCTTGACAGAAAAGTTATAAATCAATTTTTGCTCACCGTTTTTTTATCGTTCAAGAATTTGTTGTACTGGTTTAGTATTTTTTACTGTGAACTTATTTCTTTGTTAACGCAGACTCATTGAATGTACTTTTTTATTTTTAAATCAATAGATATAGGCGAGTTTAATTGACGCTTGTTTACTCTTTGTCATCTTCTTCACCTACTTCTAACATAACTTGCATAATTTTGCGTTTGAGTTTTTTTCGAGATATTGAAGATTTCAAATTGCGTAACTCATTTGCTATTAGTTCACCGAACGAATCCCACTGATCCCGCAGACTTGAATGTCTGGATTCCGATAGCGCTACACAACTTTGTCCTCCGCTCTGAATGAAACTTGGAGAACAACTGTACGTTTTTATTGAAGAACAACTCCGTTGTACTTCACAAGTTCCTTGTTCTTTTGCATTAGCGTCAGTTGTGTCCTTGCAACTCAATATTTGTAGCTGTATAATATCCTCAAGTTGGTTCTCTATAGTGGAAAGTTGAGGTTCTGTGTTATCGTTGAAGGTTGAAATCCTATGTCTTTTTACAACTTTCTGCTAACAAAAAAAATGTATTCAAGAATTTACTTATTTATCTGGTTTCGAAATAAATATGAATAACCTTGATTTGTGGTTGATGATACCCAGGCCGAGGTTCAATAAAAGGTCGCAAAAACATCAACGTTTCAAAGTGCTCCCAGCGGCGTGTTTTTGGTGATACAACTTTTTTTCCTCCCGTTTTTTCTAAGCGTGCTTCATACTTTTTCAGTTCCGAATTAAACTGGTTTCGTAGGTTGTGAACCTTTTTCCCATAGTCAATTTTTGAAATTTCGAGAGCTGTACATATGCGATTTATAGCTTTATTTCGACAACTTTTGTTTTTGTATAACTCCGAATAATGGTTCCACAAACATTCAGATGCACGATAGAGCTCAATTAGTTTGTAAATTTTTTCTCGTGTCCAAATAGTATGCTGACCACCTCTTCGTTTGACAGGTGTAGAACTTAAAACGGTTGTTGAATTGTGCGTCATTTTACTTATGTTGTTAAAAACGTATAGGAAAATCAATATAGACTCAGGAGCTGAAGTAAAATTTCGATTTTCTTATTTGCTTAGAAATTAAATATAAACTGCACCTCATATTAAACAAATATTATGCAAATGTCTTTATTTTATATGACATTAGTTACTTCCGTTCGGCATTTCCCTATCTGTATCTCCAAATTAACAATATATTTACGTGCGTCAAACTAGCAACGGTGACTTGACGTCAATTTTTTGATCTTAGTTCCGGAGCTGGAATAATATGTTATTATTTGTGTTATAAAGCACACAACAAACGAAAATGTATTGCTGAATGGTTAAAAATTTTAAATGTTTGTTGTCTACGTTCTTATTTTTAACATGGTAAACCAAGGGGTTGGGAAATAAAGTTTTTACCATTTTTAAACAACTTTAATTTGTGAAAATGTCTCCAAAAACCGCATATGTACAATTTAAGCATATAGTTTCACCTAGTCAACCGTGAATTGTTGTCTGAGCCGCTCTAAATAATTTTAGATGGCCCTCTATGAACGCTTTTCCATTTTTTGAATACATGTCTTGAGGGGCTCCGAATACATTTTAAATATATGGATGGTCCATTTTTGGAAACAATTATTTACATATGAGCCAACAAAAAATAGTTCATTCATAAGGTGTGTAATTGAACTGTTAGTTTCAACACGAACTGAGCTGGATCACTAACCATACAATGTATAGACATACCAAATGGCACTTTTAATCGAAACAAGAAAAATCGCAGCGAGGCGACCCCAATGGTACCTGCGACCATTTTAGTGTGCCCAGACGGAGTAAGACTGCTGAGAGTGGCAGCCGAACGCCGGCCTCAAAAGCCAAACGTTCAGTATGAAGCCGCATCTCGCTCAGCGCACAACATTGCGGCTGATGCGTTTTCTTAATATATGTATGTATGTTTTTTAAATCCTTACAGCCCAAAAACATATATGTGTATGCATGTGCCTCGCTCTTACTCATTGCTTCGCGCACTTGCATCCATCTCTTTCTCCCTGCATAGCTTCCCACAAAACCCCGAGATCTACAAACATTCATACGTTTGTGTTTTGCGGATGTGTGCACAAGTAGATCGCGGCGTTTGTCGCGAGCCAGAGGTTATTTCTTCAATTGTGTGCCTTTTGTGCCTGTGGTAGCAATAGGCACTCACATTTAAATGCTCTATCATGTATTTCTTCGTCCAGTCAGGCATGATGAGAAGAATTTGATCAAATTTTATTTAATACACAATTAATTGACCTAAATGAAATATTTATATTTTCTGTTTTCTGTAGGGACTTATTTTGATCAAAATACAAAAATATCTAAGTCGTATTTCGGCAAGGGGAATTCATCGTCGGCTTATCGAAGATTTTAGAAAAGACCAAAAATTGATGCACACTTTTTCAAGTAAGCAGTTGTGTGAAATTATTAAAATTATTATTATTGTGTGAAATTATTCGGCCTGCTCATGAGCAAAATTGTTATTTTTCATGCTTGTTGTAGGGGTCAGGGCAAAGACAATATAAACACTAAAATGAGTAACGCCCATACATTTGAATGCGACGAAAAATTTCTAGCCTGTCCTTTCATCTGGCCTTTGAGGCCTTTGAGCATGCCTGCCGACTGGTTGTTCGTTCTCCAAAGACCAGACGATGGAATGCCGAAGTCGCGGCTTGCTGATGCTGACACGAGCTACGAAGTTAGTCGCCAGCCTGCCTTTAGCAAAGCTGGTCGATGCTGATTTGCGTCGCTTCGTTTTCGAAGTACATTGAGCGAAAAAGTTTAGAACTTACGATCGACGCAATGTGCTTGTGCTTGATCCATGAAATGCATGCTTTATTTAAATGTTTATTTATATATAAATATATAAATGACAATATTTATTTAATGTTGTCTAAAAAAAAACTAATGTGTGGCAATATTCATTAATTGTAGCGCCAAAATATTTAATAATATCAATCTTGGTACACAGATAATGGCCCAAAATAAACGGAGGCTGTGCATAACGGCGATGGGGCTTATCCTTTTTTGTGCGTCTGGTCCAAAGCCGCCTACGTTTTTGTTCGGGTTCGAGAACTACAGGAAACTGATTTGGCTTATTCTCAGTGCTTATTCAATTTGTGTATTTACCGTTGCACTGTATGTGTGTGTATTTGTCCGTACAAGGCAGATCATGGACGCAAAAGAAAGTTTCATTATTGGCACGCGTCTGAAGAGCGCCCTTCTTTTTTTAAGATACTGGGATAGAATTGATGAATAAATGTTGACACCTTATTACCGTAAGGAACTAAGTTCTTTTATCAAGGACCCGCGCCTACATATGTATGTACATATTAGAGAGCTGCATGGCTTCACTCACATCTCACGTTGAATTGAATGGACTTGAATTGAATTAAGTGAGTGCGAGGCCCACAATGAATCAAATGTTTCCCGAAGGTATCCTGAAATCAACGATTTTATTATGGGTAGAGAAAGTTCGGTAGAGAAAACGTGATGCAAACTATTATAATTTTTACATAGCACGCGAAAGGGCATAGCGTAGTCTATTGTGCACGTGGCTGGAATAAGAGCCGATAATTTCTGGTTGGTCTAGCCGGAACAGAAATTTGAGGTCGTCCTATCAGAAGAGGAGAATCTATATCGCCAAAATTTACTTATGTCGAAGGACAACACCGAGAATTTTCCTACGGTTGGTTAACGACGAAAGGTAAGAAGAAGCAGCCCGCTGGAGTAGGATAGCAACCGAAGATTAGGTTCCCAATTTAAACCTCGTAAGGCAAAAAGCAGAAATTGCGTCTGAACAGATTAAACATGATTTTGGCTATTGTTATACTGCGGAGACCAGATACAAGAGCAGTATTTAAGGATATAGCGAACAAGCGAAATGTTCAGAAGTTTCGTTATAGAAGGATCGTTAATCTCTTAAGACCATCGTTTAATGAATCCAAGTAAACCTTTTACCACATGAACGATGGTATCTATGTGAAGAAGGAAACAGAGTTTAGAATCAAAAATAACATCTAGATCCTTAACTGTTAGTATAAGTTGCAAGGGGTATTGTCGATTGTATAACTGACAAGATATGGTGAAGTACGAATAAATGTCATAAACATACACACCAAAGTTGCATAGCGTTCAAATCGTCTTGTACACGAGAATGATGTAGGGGATTATTGTATGATAGAATAGGTTTCGCATCGTCCACATACATTAGTACACGGGAATGTGATATAACAGGGGGGAGATCATTTATAAAAAGAGTAAAGGTCCAAGATGACTACCTTGAGGAGGACCACAAGTAACGTAAATCTGTTTAGAGGTATTCAGCCTCAGTGTTGCTCGTTAGGTCCTACCTTTTAAATACGAATTAATCCAAAGCATAAGAGACGGATGTCATGGTGCACAGAGTCAGACGCCTTACTGACGTAAATGACATCAGTTTGCATTTTCGAAAGGAAATCATCATTTACCAAGAAAGTAGCAGATTGTAGTTGAGTTCTTTACGAACCATGTTGAACAGGGGAAACAACTGATTTGCAGAAATGCTGCAAATTCGAAGTGATTATTTTTTCAAATAATTTAAGAATAGCAGACAGTTTTGCAATGCCCCTGTAATTTTCTATGTCAGACTTCCCACCTTTCTTGTGAAGAGGAATGATATAAGATTCTTTCCAAAGAGATGGAAAGACAGAAGTTTCAAGGGATAGATTAAAAAGCTTTAGCAATGGATAAAAAAGGGAAGAACTACACTCCTTGAGTAGACAACTAGGAATATTGTCCGGCCCAGGAGAGTAAGAAGATTTTAAAGAGTTTATAGCTAATAGGAGAGAAGAGTGTGAAATAATGGGGAGAGGTATAGAACTAGCGGAAGAAATAGTATAAGAGTAATAATTAGTATTAGGGCAGACTGAAGAGTAAGTTGATTGGAAATTAGCAAAGAGGTTAGCAGAATCGGAGTCATTGCTAGCTTTATCTATCCCGAGAGAAAAAGATGGCGAACTTGAAGATTTACGCTGCAAGTTTACAAAAATGTTAAACTGTCTCGGTTTTGGGGGAATTGCCATTACAATGAGTTTGATTATTTTCATAGCATTGATAATTCAGAAGAAAGAAGTTCGACTTGGCTACAAATATTTAGCCAAGTCTATACACGAACCAGACTGTTTATAATTTTTAAAAATATGTAGAGCTTACATTTTTTATATGTGACAACCTGGAAGTAAACCAGGGTTGTTTTGAACGAGTAGTTGGAGGAATTAGCTTGGGAATACACATATCTAAGAGGAAATTTAGGGTGTTATAAAAAAAAAAATTATTGGCAGTATTTATATCAACCGAGTCATACAAGAAATATCAATAGGTTGCATTAATAAACTGATTCAGCAATGAATAATTTCCTATGCGAAAGCAACGACGGGGCTTTTTGGTTGATGAGCACGAAGTTAGTGGATTAAAATAGAACATTGCAATGTCTAAGGTATATATGTAGGGACGGACATTCCATGGATTTCACCAGCACTTAGTTCTTTATGTTCTTAGTAGTTTATTTAAAGAAATTGGTAAACAAACGTAAACTTGTAATTATTATTTATTTTCTGACAAGTATTACAAGACAATGACCAACAGCGAACACATCTTTTCATTTTCTCTCTTTGCTTCCGACTGAACGTTTTAGTCTCCATTTTTATCGATAAATCGTGGATCAGTCCATAGCAGTGTTGCATGTGATCAGTGATTTAATGTTACCAAATGAGTATAATGTCAACATTATACTCGCCTGTTAAATTTAACTGATTACAAATTCGACCACTCCGTGTTCTATTTCCGACTCCCACACTCGGTCATCCTGACTCTTCATTCGACCCGAATGACGAATCTTCTGTTAAATAATCACTGGGCTCCCATTCCCTCATATATTCTGCTACAGTTGTAGTTTTCCCTGCACCTCCGTGGTCGCCGACTTTTTCTACGTCATATCTTCCAAGGTTTTGAATCTTTACTATTTTATATGGACCAAAGAATTTAGGTTTCAATTTTAGACCAGTACCATACTGTGTTCTCTTAATGGCTACAAGTTCGTTTATTTTATAATTGCGCTCTTTTTTGCGATGTTTATTGATTTTCGGTTTTCCTGCTGTATTTTTGCTATATTTTGCTGCGCTTCTTTACGGACTTCTTCTCTTT